ATTTCGAAAATTCTGAACAAAAGTTGTTGGGTTAAGAAATCGTTTCTTCACTTTTTGAAGTACACATAACACTCGGATTTAAATCCGAGGTTTCCACATTTATTTATTTATGATTTTATAGACATTTGAAGATAAGATGAAATGTTTTTATGAAAATGAATCAAACCGAAATATTAATGAAGATGAAGGGTATGGGTGCGGGTGCGGTCTTCCTCTAATATCCAACCCACACCCTTTTTGATTGCAATTCTATTTCGGTAATATTTTGATAAATATTGTATATCGATACCAATATCTTCTCGATGAATATTATCAACATTTTCAACTATTAAAAAAACAAAGAATTAAAAAAAATATTATTTTATATTGTTTGATCAAATAATTTTTATAATTAGAATCTATATCGTTTTGGTTTTGTTTTATTTCTTTTGTATATTGATAATTATGCTTTATATTATAGCTAGGGGTTGCACTTTAACTTTAATTTTAAAAATAAACTTAAAGTGCCACCCCTAATCATAACCAAACCAATATGTTTTTATAAATGGATAATACTATGGTTGAGGAATTCCGTATACATCTAATGAATTTAATAGAAAACATTAATGAAATTTGCATTTTTTTCTATTATCAGGAAATACATTTTCAATGCAAACAGTTAATATTATTGAAGTAATCGAATAAAAAAACATCATTAATATACAGTGAAGAAATGTAAAATTATTATTTGATTCTACACTTCTATTTATATTATTTCATTGAATACCTTGTGCCAAGTCTTCAAATCGAGCTGTATAGTCACAACCAATTCCAAATACAACAGTTGATGATAGACACTAGAAATAAATATTAGTATTGATTTTTTTTCTTTCTCAGTTATAAATTCTGACAGCAATAATTTTATCCCATATTAATATTTGATTATCATAATTAATTAAAAGTGTATAAGGCAAATGAAGAATAAGATAAAGAATTCCAGCACCTAAAGTAAACATAAAAATATGTTTTTTTTTAATATTGTAAAATACATACCACAAGCAGCTAAATTAGCTCGATTGAAAAACAAAACACTTATGAAAGAATATTGATTAATTGTTGCAAATATATAACAAATAAAGAAAATAAATAATATTGAACATTAGAAAATTAAGTTATTTTTCTAAACTAAAAAGAAAATAGAATAATTTATGGATGATTTTAAAATTCTTTTAAAGTTTAATCGTATTTAATTGAACATTGATTTATTATTTTTTTACCGATTTAAATAAATTTTACCTAGCATTTCATTAGAATTTACTAGATATATAGTTGTTAGGATACTACAGTACAATAGGAATTTGGTTCTAATAAAGTGAATAATGGCTTTAAATAATCGATAGTTTTATCGACAGTCCCATTCTACGTAGGGCAGAAAATACGACATGCCGATATACCAATATGGTACTAACTTATTGATACTCACTAATATTGATACTAATAACAAATAGCCGATGATCGAAAAGTAATAAGAAAAAAAAATCTTTATTGACTTTTTAGCTTCTTGAAGAAGCCTACAGAAATCTGGAACATTAGGTTAGAATTAAAATTTTGTATTGTTTCTTAATATGCGTTAAAAATTTCTTCAAATCTTTTGGTTCAAGAGCTATGACTAGAAATTTTAGAGAAGCGAAAATTAAGTTTGGATTGAGAAAATTCATATTGTTTTTTTGCAGCAAGTCTTATTTACTGCATAAGTTATATATCGATATTTTTGGGCATCGAATTCAAGGCAAAATTGTTCGCTACAAAGTAATATACGAATCAATAATTTTATGACAATCATTCAGGAATGATTGGGCTCACTTTATAAGTCTGTTTTCCATAGAAATCGAAGAAATTGTCTAAATTGACACGATGTTCCTTACGCGAAATACTCATTGTTGACAAATAACTTACAGCAAACTAATTACCGATATATTATCTTACAGAGGAATGTTTACTATTTGATTCCCTGTATTGGAAATAATTTTCGATTGTATTTTGGATAATTTTTGACATGCTGAAACAGAGCTGAGCAAGTACGGGTTTTTTCGAGTGCGAGTATTGACCCCTCGAGTACAAGTACGAGTACTACAAAATCGTACTCAAGCACGAGTATTTCAAGTATTGTACCCAGCTCTGTGCTGAACTTCTAAAAGATCCATTCATAATTTCTAAACAAGGAATCCTACAACATTTTTAAATGCATATTGAGAAAGAACATAAAATTCTGATTCCAGCTCAATACTTTCAGATTTCTGCAAGCTCTTTTAAGCCCCCTCCCTCTCGCTCAAAAAAAGTCACTTTTCGTCAGAATGGTCGAAATTGAGATAAATGCAGGAGAAGATAGCCCGTCAGCTGCTCTTTCATAAACCATAATTTGTTTTTCTCGTTACTTCATTTTTCCCAAAAAATTGTCAAGATTTTCGTCAACCCCTATTCGAAAAACCAGCTGTTTTTTGAAAAATCAAAAAATGTTTTTCGTTTTTTTCTCAGTTTCCGCTTTCTCAAAAGCGCATCCGAAATTTCTCCTTCCTGGTTCGTTCAATGTATTAATATTTTTTGTTTGTTTGAAAGAGCTTCTCAAGGCGCAGGGCACACGGAAGCCCTGTTTCAAATTAAGCCTTGGTTTAGTCAATACACAGCTAGTTATATGATTTGGTTACCGTTTTTTGACACTTTTTTCAGTCATTGAACCTGTGATCCATTTTTGCGCTTAAAAAAGAACTATTTCAAAAAAGTGGCTATCGTGTGCCCTGCGTCTTGAGATGCTCTTTCCAACAAAAAAAAATTTTAATATATTGAACGAGCCAGGACCGAAAATTTTGGGATGCCAAATGACTCATTTTTGACCCTTGCTTGGGTCATATCTTCCTGAAACCTGAAGATTTCTGGCTGAAAATTTTATGATAGTATCCTGTTTTCAACCCCAACATATTCTGAAAGTTTCATCTAATTTGGATGTTCTTAGGCTGAGATCGATTTTTGAGGGGGAGGGGTGCCTTAATAAGAGATTGAAAAGATAAATGAACATGTTGTCTAATTACTTTTCGATCACTTTCATTAATACAAAATACTGTTGAATATCAAATGCTATTGTTATTGAGACATGTCTGCAGAAATTTTCTGAGAATTAACCCATCCGATAGGATAGACTAGAACAGTTTATCCCATGAAATGACGGTGTTTTTCATTGTATCCCATTTTACGCGGAGCTCTGTGGTGGCAGGCAATGTTATCCAGTATCCTGCTAGGACTATGCATCGCAAAAAATATTCATTCCATGAACAGAGCGTTGCAAAGATCCTTTGTCACGTGGAAAAAAAATGTTGTAATATCTCTTAATACTGTATGCTTGTCTACCACAAAATGACTTACTGAGGATACAGATGTGTGGCTGTTCGTGAAGGTATTTGCTTCGCTAATACCAACACAACCTGATCCACACTCAGAAAATATATTGAAACGTTTTGTTCGTACAACAATTTGTCCTACGAAGAAAGGTCCAGTTACCATCAGAAATAACTAATTGATAGAATTCTTCGTTATATATTCACTATGGACAGTAGTTTGATGATGCTCGATACGATAAAAGAAAGTAATACCATCTGATTGTAAGATTTTGTTTTAACTTAACTTTCAAGCTATACTATTTTAAGAAGTAAAACACAAATTTCTTAAAAAATCGAGGTTTTACTTTGAAATTTTTCAATACCAAATGATTTAAATCATAGATTTTTCCTCTGAAATTCGTTAGATAATTTTCTAAGAGTACTATTCCTTCTAGAAAAAAATCATCATCAATCTATTTACCTTCAGAATAATAACAAGTAATATAGCTGTTACTGTCATAACAAGAGTACATAAAATAAATCATGTAAACCAATGAACAGAATCATTTAAACCGATAACTTTCATTATTTCTTTTAATCGTCTAATTAAATATGCATAAATATTAAAAAAATTTTACAATTTCGCTGTTCTTACTTTTCTTTTTCATAAACAATATCTTTAATATTCATTGGTATAGTTAATATTCAATTTAATACTATAAATAATAGTAGCATATGTCTAATTGAATCAACAAATCTAAATCAAAACAAAAAATTTTAATATATTTTTTTTGTTCTCTTCGATTTATTAAAAGTCTAATAATATACCTATCATTAATGCAACATGGATATAACATTTGTTGAGTTTGTATACCATATAATAGATTTAAACCTGTTTATGCATTAATAATAGCACGATCAATAGCATTTTGTAAATAAATAAAAGTATATGCATGATATTTAGTTCATAATGGTACCGAATAACGAGGTGCATATGTAAAATATCTATATTAAAATAAATAAAAATCGTAAAATCTAATTTGTTTCGGTTTTTTATTTTGTCTTACAGATCTTCAGTTCGAAATGTATTATCATTAAGAAATACAATTCCAGTTAAAAATTTATCTATTAATGAATTATTTTGTCCATATTGTACCATATTAAATTCACTAATTATTGAAACAAACGATTTCTTTTTTTACAAGCTATAAATTCAGTTAATATTTTAAATAGAGATAATGATGTTGTATATGAATTAAAGTGTTGACAAGTATCTAATACATTTAATGATAAATTACATATTATTGAAAATATTCGATATGCTGATGGAATAATTAATTGTATTTGACGAAATAGTTTTATTAATGCATCTACTGATTCAAATTTTTGATTAAATTGTTTTATTAAATTATCATGATGAATGTTTGATGGATAATAATAAATTTTTCCATTAAATAATTGGCATCTAAGACTACCAAATTGTTTTAATTGTTGATTTGGATCAAATATTTGATCAAATAAAACACAACGCCATGTACGAGTAATTAAAACCCTTTGTTTAATACAGCCAGAACCAATTATATATGATTTATTATACATATTGGAAACATTATAATGAAGCAAATTAGGTGCTAAATCATTCCAATTAAGATCAAATATGTATTATTATTTAATGAAACTTCTGATGTATTAGTCGCACTCGACTCACCGAATGAATTAATAACTTAAAATGAACTTGAACCAAAAAGATGTGAAAGATCGTTGTGTTCACCACATAATATTGTTATGCTGAAATAAATTAGAAGAGAATTTTCTTTTTGTTTATATATTTGTATTCGAGGTCAAAATGGATGAAAATGTTGAATCAATTAATAAGAAAGAGTTCAAGCAGAATATTCTAGTCTAATTTTTATGTCTCTTTGCTTTTGCAGAAGCTTAATCTTAAAAAATGAAAATTTCAATAGTTCATAAATGTAAATAAATTGTTTGTTGACAGAATGTACATTTTCGATATATAATTATTTTTCGTTTCGAGGATTAGACTCTGTCGGATCCAAATTGTTCGGACTCGAACTCGACGAGCTCTATCGGAGAGATTGAATGATTGATGAAAGTTTTTGAAAAAAATATTTTTTTTTAATGTATTTTTTCAGACAAACACAAGATTGATGTGGATGATTTTTAAAAAAAAGTATGAATTGAACCATGTATGTGTCTTATAGTTTGATATTAGAGCATAATAAATGGTTGTAAGCACTAATAAAATCGAAAGTTAAATTTGCAGTATAAATATTACAATCGATAGTATATTATGCATAATCATTCTTGGTAAATTTCAGATTGAACTTTTTGATAAGAGATTAAAAGAAAAAAGTTCAGAGAAAACATGAAAGCTTTTTATTTATGATGTTTTTAGGATGCCCTCAAAACTCTAACTTCGACAGTGTTAGCGTCTGCAGATGTCGTTAACAGACGCTAATCGTCTAACACTGTTTCTTTAATCTCATTGTTTTTGTTCTGTTACGTCATATTGGTCAATCAACTCACGTGAT